TTTTGATTTCCTTTTATGGTGCGTTTTCTTTCTCTATCCTGAAACCACGCTGCCGTAACCATGTCTTCCTTGCTAGCCAACGGCATCTCGAGCTTCTCAGCACGGCCTACCTCAGATTCAACCAAGTCTCCTAGAGGGTTTTACCCAAAGTTCGATTTCGTCAAACCCATAACCTCAAAACCCCCAAACTCAAGGCTTACAAAGGTCAGAGCAGACGTTGGTTTCGATTCTCAAACCCTCACGTCCGATCCCAGCTCTTCATCAGGTAAGTCCTACGATGAGAAAATCCAGGAAATTCTTCGAAATCGTGATTATGATAAAAAAATTTGGCTTTACTGTGGATATCGATTCGTTTGCGATACCCAAAGGGCTTTCTGAGGAGACAATTCGTTTAATTTCTTCTCTGAAGGAAGAACCTGATTGGATGGTGGAGTTTAGATTGAATGCTTATGAGAAATTTTTGAAAATGAAAGAACCCAAATGGTCTGATAATCACTACCCGCCAATTAATTTCCAGGATATTTGTTATTACTCTGCGCCTAAAAAGAAGCCAACTTTAAACAGCTTAGATGTGGCTGATCCTGAACTTTTGAAGTACTTTGAGAGGTTGGGTGTGCCTTTGAATGAACGTAATCGATTGGCTAATGTTGCCGTTGATGCTGTTCTTGATAGTGTTTCAATTGCTACTACACATAGGAAGACTTTAGAAAAAGCTGGGGTCATTTTTTGTTCGATATCTGAGGCAATCAGGGAGTACCCTGATTTAGTTAGGAAATATTTGGGTAGAGTTGTGCCTAGTGATGATAACTATTATGCAGCTTTGAATACAGCTTTTTTTAGTGATGGGTCATTCTGTTATATTCCAAAGGATACAAAATGCCCTATCCCGATTTCGACTTATTTCCAGATTAATGCATTAGAAACCGGGCAGTTTGAGAGGACATTGATTGTTGCTGATGAGGGAAGTTTTGTGGAGTATTTAGAAGGATGTATGGCGCCTTCTTATGATAGGAATCAGCTTCATGCTGCTGTTGTTGAGTTGTATTGTGCTGAGGGTGCAGAGATTAAATACTCCACTGTGCAGAACTGGTATGCAGGTGACGAGCAAGGAAAAGGTGGGATTTATAATTTTGTTACTAAGCGTGGACTTTGTGCTGGAGATTGATCGAAGATATCTTGGACGCAAGTGGAGACAGGGTCTTCTATAACTTGGAAGTACCCAAGTGTTGTTTTGGAGGGTGATGTCACTGTGGGCGAATTTTACTCTGTGGCACTCACGAATAACTATCAGCAGGCCGACACAGGTACAAAAATGATACACAAGGGGAGGAATACAAGAAGCCAGATTATCTCGAAGGGTATTTCTGCCGGAAATTCAAGAAACTGTTATAGGGGGCTGGTTCAGGTTCAATCAAAGGCAGAGAATGCTAAAAATTCCTCACAATGTGATTCAATGCTTATTGGTGATAATGCTGCTGCAAACACCTATCCTTACATTCAGGTGTGAATATTTGATTTACTGGCAATTTTCTCCGATATCATGTTAAAATATTTGTCTGTACAAGTTTTTATTGCCACCTATTTTATGATTATACATTTTGGGAAAGTGGGGTGAACCACCTTCTTTTATTTGCTTTCCTGTGTACGCATATTAATAAACTGCTGCAAAATTCAAGCTGTTGGATTGATATTTTGCAATACATGTGTTCTCCCGTCTATCCAACTGTCTATTACTCTGCTGAAACAATGTTTACTCCCATACTGTGCATGCTCCATAATATCAGCCCATAACCATGTTTGCTATCATCATCTTGTTTACCAAAAAGAGCTCCATTATTTGACCCAAAGAAAGCAGTGGAATGCTAGTCAATAGTCATGATAGAATTTTATTCTCATTCTTGTTTTGGCACAAATCTGCTTTTGATGTTTGTACTGTAACAGCTATTTCTTTTAGAATTGAATTACATTCCTATGTAAGACTCTGTTGTTATTTGTTGCATCAAGAAGGTAGGAGCTTCATTTTGTTGATTATGATTGGATTGTCGTTATTTAACAGGTTAAGAATCCCTCAGCTCGTGTTGAGCATGAAGCCAGCACATCGAAAATCGGTGAAGATCAGTTATTTTACTTTCAGCAGAGGGGAATTGAGTATGAGAAGGCCATGTCTGCCATGGTTTCTGGGTTTTGCCGTGACGTTTTCTATGAACTTCCGGATGAGTTCGGTGCTGAGGTGAACCAACTCATGAGTTTGAAGCTCGAGGGATCCGTGGGTTAAGCATGATGCAGGTTTTGGTCAAATGATGTCATGTTGGATAATTAAATACTTTTGTCAATGAATTCCCTAACGTTCAAGTTCTTAGGAGTCTTTTTATGAATGACTAGTTAGCTTTGATGTATTTGCCATTTCAAAGTGCTGTTTTGAACACTAAAAAATACATATTTCTCGAAATATGTATACCTGTGTATACTATATACTTGATCTCTTATACCCTGAACAACTTTGTAATATACATCTTAGAAGTCCGTTTTGCGTATTGCTGTGACGAGAAAGTTTCTCTCGGTATTCCAATCATGTTCTTTTGATGAATTTGCTTTTTATACATTGTCGGTGTAAGTTTATTATAACCAACAGTGTTGTAATGTACATGTCCAGTTAGAAAGTCAACAACTACATTAATAAAATTTAGTTGTAATTACCAGGTTATCCCTCGAACCATAATCTGGAAATTAGTATAATAATAAATTTAACTTGAAATATTTACATTTTTAATATTTACGGAAGATTTGCTGTTGTTTACTAAACGTAATGTTGATTCCATTGGAGCAGCTCGTAATGTGTTGAAATTCTTTCACGGGCTACAAGTGAATAATTCAAAAGTGAACCATATAGCTCAGGTATTGATCACATTGGAGTTAAGGAGATTATAGAACTCTAGAGGGCTAAAGTTGGGGCAGCTTTCTGTTAGATACCTTGGAGCTCCCCTGGTGAAGTTCTGGTTGTGATGAACTTATTGAGAGAATAACCAGCAAAATAAGAAGCTAGTCTATCCTTTACAGATAGACTTCAGCTCCTAATACCAATAACTTTTATCTACATAATTGTTGGAGTAAAATATTTTTTCTTCCCGCAAAGATTATAAAGAATCATCTCTCTTTGATTTCAGCAACATACTTTAGTCTAACTGTTTTATCAGCGATATACATTCCATCGTCGGTAGGATGACTTGCAAAAAGGAAATTCCTTTTGATAGTATAGAACGTGACAATAAACACTCCACATTTTTTCAATTAATAATTTTTGCTTATCAATGGCACTTCACGAGTCATGCCGGTGGAAAATTGGTACGTTTTAGATTGGCTACCTTTGACTTTCATACTTTTCTTTCACTGTCTCTGGCCCAACTCAGCCAATACGCACCGAAATTCTGTCTTTGAGTTTTTCTCACATATATGGTGTGCTATGAAAAGTCAAATCTCATCAATAGCTGGACCTTATGCTCATCCACGTGCTTCATTTCATTATACATGCAATTTTGATCATGATAAGAGTCGATCGTTAATGCAATTATTAAATTTCATATAAACAATCGGAGTTACCATATGATAAACTCGATCTTAGCTTGATTTACGAGAACATGGTAATTATATTTATGGATTCATTGAGAATATCACCCCCACTGGATTCTTTAATAAAGTAGTGGCATGGTGTTTCCTGAGCAGAGCAGATCAGTTTTCACACTACAAAAATGCCAGCTAATTAAAAACATCTCTCTCTCCATTCTGATTGTTATTATTTTATGTTTTGTGAAATTAATATCGCTTCACATGTACAGCTTCATCACCATATGACTTCTTCAGTAGCTTTGATACATACATCCCCCCTATAAATATTGCTTCTGTATGAAGTCTCATCTTGCTCTCTTTAACTCTCCTTCTGATAGTAGAATTCCCCCCCCCCAAACAGAGAAACAAAACAAAGAAAAAAAAATGGGGATTCTGAGGAGATCAAATGGGTACTCAAAGGTGGATAAAGAAGACCCAAAGGAGTTAATTCATCGACGAGCTCAGTTCTTGATCTACAAAGTGATGGAGCAAGCAGAGTGTAGAAGAAAAACATCGTTTATACGAATCAGATTGTGTAGGCTAAAGGTGAAGATTGGGAGAAGATTGAAAAAGCTAAGGAAGAGTGTGTTGGTTAGTATTTCAGCAGCAAGAATCGGCGTTTACAAGCAGGTTATGAATCAGTTGAAGACATGGCGACGCTTGTTTAACCGAGGCAGCCATCATGGAACCATTGCCACCCTTCCTCGGCCTTTGTTCACTTGAAAAACATACGTTGCTGTTAGATATGAACTCTCTCTTTGCTTTTTGTTGGAATACAAGAATGATTTGTGTTTTCTTCTTTTTGCAATAACAAGGTTTTTTTTTCATTATTCTAATTTTCCTTTCATATATTGGCACTGCTTCTTATTGATGCACGCCAAAATTAGAGCTTTCCAGCACACCTATGTTTTGCTGGTCTGGTTAATTTTCATCTTCCCTTTTTTTACCCTGATGGAACTCCTAAGGAAGGTGAGGGTTATGAGATTGTGGTCCTCAATCCATCTAGGTGCACAGAAATGATAAAGATCCAGTTAGCTGAGATTTGAGAGAGTCTACTCACATGAGTTTCAACTTTCAGCATTTTTCTTATTTACTGAAATGTTAGCCATATAGCAAGCAGGAACATTCAAACCTTTGAAAATTATTGGTACCTGTGGGGGTGTTTCAAAGATCTAAAAACCTACTTTTCCTATCTGCAGGACTGTCTGATCAATTATACCTTAACTATTTATTGGTTCATGGCGGTGCCCTTGTGGTCAACCGAACCACAACTACCCGGCCTAATTAATGCTAAAAAAATTATTATTTTTTTGGTTATCTAGCTCATTGGAATCTAGTATTCTATGATCCTATGAATATACATTCAAATTAGTAATAATAAAAGTGTAGAGTAATTATTATTTTGTTATGCATGCACTCGGATTCACAATGCTTTGAGATTGAAGAAACTTTTGTAGTGGGAAGTTCACAGCGTAATCAATGATTTGTGGGATCAAACCATAGACAAAAACAGCAGCAGCAGATGCAACTTCCGGCGGTTCGCCTAGTAAGATCAAGATTGGCTTGGAAAACACATAGGCCAGCATCAGTGGGATCCCTGTTGAAGTAAGGACAATGGTTGATCTCTGAAGATAAACCCCTAACATGCCGTATCTAAGCCCACCAAAAGCTTGTCCGCATAGAGTCTCCACAGCACTCCCCGTTCCTAGCTGCAAAACGTTGGATACCCTAGCTTAGTTAGATAAATAAACTCATAAAGTGATCGATGAATGCCTCCCAAGTGTGCTAAATGTCAGTACCATGAGGCCATAAGCAAGGAGTTGGATGCCGCTGTTGCCAAGAGAGGCAGAGGCGAGAGATTGCCCAGATGACCACAAAAGACACGAGTGGATAAGAACATGGCGAAATTGATTAAATAAACAAAGACCGCCGGTGCCGCTAGGCGGAAAAGGAGCTTCATTTCAATCAACAAGGCCAATCGGAGACGCCTGAAGAAAGGCAGCTCCGTGCCTGACAAAACATTCTCGTGCCTAGAGTCCACTTCATGGCCATGATCAGTTTCAGACAGGGTTTCAAATCATGGTCGCGGTTGCGTTTTCAATCATTTCGGGTTTACCATAATTGTGGCCGTCACTAGCGCTATTACTTTTTCGGACTGTGATTTGAAACCCTCATTCTAGATGAGTCGTATGAGGGTGGCTGCTGCTGATCATCATCATCAGGCAAGGAGTTATTCAAGATTGGATGATTCAGGTCCTGTTGGGAATCCATGTTTTTTCCTAGCAGTTCCAGCCTATGGTTGATTGATATTAAAGGAAATGGTAAGGAATTAGAGATAATTGCTGTCGATATTCATAAAAGGTTTATCTGCATTTAGGTGATGGATTATAATACTTCCGAAAAAACTATGCCATTATCTTCTACCACCATGTTACTACTATACATCATATGGTTGATTGGTACGTTTTCTAAATTTAAACTTAAAGCTGTAAAAACTTTATTAATTACCATTACTTGTATCATTTAACTTACTTTTTATAATTTAATTTTACTGATTGAATAGCTTTAATGTTTAAGAGGGCGAAATTAGGAATTTATTATAACGAGATCAAAAAAAAAATTCATAAATACAATTTTTTTAATTGAGGGGATTTGGTAAATTTTTCTTTATTTATTTTTTAAAAATATATATATTTTTAATATTAATTAATACTTAAAAAAATAATTGATGGAGCCTAAGGATCTCCTTGGATCCCATGATGTTCCAACCCTGTTTAAGATTATAACACGTGTAATTGTTAATGAAGAAGGTAATTAGCTTTCATTTCTTTTTCATGAATCAATTGACCTCGATGGTAATTGATAAATAAATTATTGTTATTCTTTGATGTTTCGAGTTCGAATTCTAAAAATATTAAGGTGTGACCGTTCAATGTCAAATAGTTTAGAGTTATATTTAAACAAATATTACATTTTACTAATCTCATATTATTCAAAAATAAATAAATAAAAAGTTTTCATTTCTCTCTCTCACGTATAAATAGTAAACGTTTCTGTTTATAGTCCACAGACTCAGAGTCCCTTTTTTATTGATAAAGAGATAGACCACGAAATGATATATAAAAAATATTGATAAGTTGCATAAATCAATTCATGCAGAGAACCAAAAATATATAGTAAGTGACAGCAAACGGTCATTTTATATTTTTCGTTCCACTAAAAAAATATTTATATTTTGCTGACTTCGTCAAACACAAATAAGGAATTTAATTATATTTTAACTTATACTTAAAATGGCTTTTGATAATTAACTTGAGTGAATTTAAACACTTATATGAACATTTCTGTTAGTGGCTTTTGAGTTTTGATCGATATCCCCATGATGCAAAATCGTTTGTTTTTTCTTTGTTAAGAGAGAGGCAGCTGCTGAGCCATTGATTGGGCTGTTAGTGGTATTTGGACTGTTAGGAACCCGTTGAGCTGTTAGTTGGTAGCTGGACTGTTAATAAGAATTTGTCAAATATCTCTCACACATTGGGTTATATTTGCCAAATAATACAACATCTTACCTCTTATGACTAAACATGTCACGTATATCTAATTAATCATAAGTTTAAAAATATTTTATTATATACAACATGTATTGTCAACAAAAATAAATGTTAGTATTTTTTTTAAAATTAATCATTTGAATGATACTTTTGGGGTAAAAAGAAACCTTTATCTACATCCAACAAGTAAAAACCAACTTGGATACTGCTTCGCTTATCTTTAATGTGGAGTTTTCTTTCTCACGGTCAGTAGAGTTGTCACTCGTCATTTTCCACTGGATTAAAAAACTATTACAAAAAGTAATCGGAATCAAGTGAGTTCAATTTAGTTGTAATCTATTACTTAGATGTGACGGGAAAGAGACGGTGGAAAAGAAATAAAAAATATATTTTATAATATTAAACTAATAAAAAAGTTATCAACATGGTTGATTTAAGTGGTAAGCAACTTGATATTTTTAAGTAAAGTCTCAGGTTTGAGTCATTGTGTATGTAAGAAATCTCTACTAGAAAACTCACCTACCAAAATTAAATATACGATCCGGATCAATTCATATTAATAAAGACGAAACCTTAAAATCAAAATAAAAAAAAAGTTACCCATGATAAAGGTGCGAGTAACAAAATACACTATATCAAAAATCTAATAAAATCATTTTCCACACTTTCACTAAAGTTATTTTTTTGCTTATTTTATCTAACTTTTGATTGGTATAATAATAGATTTTATCCTTAAATATTATATTTTTATTTTAAATAATTTTGATTGGTATATATATTAAGTATCAAATTTATTATCTTAACGCTCAAAATTAAGATAAATCGATAAAAGAAAAATAAACCCAGCAAAATTTTTCGTAGTGTTTGTATATTAAAATTGACATAAATTAAATTATTTTAATTTTATTAGAAAGAGAAAATTAATAACTAAAGAAACTTTTTAGCAAATAATATTGGACGCTACTAAATAAACAAAAATCCAAAACCTTCCCATATCTGAGCCCACAACAGATTCACGATGAGGGAAGTCGGGGAGATGCGCAGCCAGCAATGGAGCCGGAGTTTTGATATGGTAAGTGCTCACGAGAGTTACTATCCCATCACAACGACACAATAAAATTATTATTGCTAAAGTTGTCGGTATGGGACTAAGGAATTAAAAAAACACACAGAAGAGAAAATATAAATATCAATGTTATTAAAACTATATCGGATCGGTCGGTTCAACCGGTTGAACCGTAAATCGATGGCCTGTTCAATTCGGTTAACTTTCAAAACCGATTGTGTACTGAACTGATAAAACCAACTAAGAACCGGCAAAATCGGGATGAACCGGCTAAAAACCGATAAAATCGGTGTGAACAGCCTGTTCTCTTTTTTTCTTTAAAAAAAATAAACCAAACGACGCCATTTGTTAAACAAGCCAAGTTGAACTCGAGTACTGCTGAGTTCGACTCGAACTCGAAAACTTTAAAAGTAAGCTCAACTCGACTCAAAAACTCACGAGCTAAAAATTATCAAGTTCAACTCAAACTCGAAATATAATATTGAAACTTGAACTCAAAAAGGCTCGAACTCAAAAAAAATTTAGAAGCTCGAACTCACTAGAATAGTTCGCTATGTGCTCACCAAAAACCTCTATGGTTTTGAATGTCAAATTACCTCTAGTATTTATAGAAGTTAGTTGAGATGCTCTTCTATGTTTCTTAGCCATGTGCGATTGTTTTGTTCTCATATTTTTACTCTTTAGACTTTTATGATGCTCTTTTATGTTTTTTAGCCATGTGAGATTGTTTTTTTTTAAATTAAACCAAACGACATCGTTTGTTATGTTTTTTTCAGTCTCAAATTTATTTTTTTTATTATAGTTTTATAATTATATTTATTATTTAATATGTTTTACCTTAAATATTATGTTGTAATTGATGTGAATCATTTTGTTTCACTTGATTTTATGTTTTTTAACTTATATATGTTATGACTTGTGATATTTTTATATCTTTTAATATTGTAAACTTTAAAAAAAGTGTTATACATATATTAATATTGCTTTGAATATTATGTAAAATTTTTTAAAAAAAATATTATTTTATATAAAATTCGATTCAACCCGGTTGAATCACGATTGAACCAGTGAATCAGTACCTTCATCGGTTCAAAGTCCGATCCGATTTTAAAAACATTGATAAATATCAACTTACCTTTCTGCTACATGCATTTAAGGAACTTGATGAACCATTTCCAGTAACAGAAAAGGTTGGGCCAATCCCGGAACACTTGATTTGTTTTTGTAGTTTTGCATGCACAATCATCTATATATTTAAACATAAATGAAAAATATTACTGTCCTTCATAAACTGTCTCGTTTTATCTTATCTACTAGAAATGGTGTCGGGCCTAGAAAACAGGCGACAGCTAAGACTAGGCTTATCCCCAGATCTAATACCATGTTTCCTTAATAATTCAGGTCATAATGTTCGAACACTAGCCCATTGGGTTTTGAAGACAAACCGAGATTACCCCCACAAAACCCAGCAACAGAAATGTCCAACTCAACTTGCTTCTAGATGTAGTTTTCAAATGGGACAGTTCCGATTTGGGCATAAATTTTCCACATAGAACTCAATTCCAGTGGAATTGCTTGCGTACATTGTTGAAAACTTTGGCCTCATTTCCAAGAAAGAAAAAAATACGAATAGTATGAACAAATTTACTTCAGTAGTTAAATAAATCATTGATGTTTCTAGAAGTCATATGCTCAAGCATCAACGATTGCAGTTTGGAGATTGAACGGAGTTTGAACGTATATTGTCAAATAATTAAAGTATTTAGAGCATATACTACTTTATAATCAACTTAGTTTAATAAAAATAAATAAATAAATAATTAAGATGACAATGTATTAAACGAAAACTGTAGACTAGTTGTCCCTCTTGTTCTTATCACCGTAGACCCACCTTAAACTTCCATGTCCACAATTATTTGTCTTCAAATCATGAATAGTCTGACAGAGAAAAATAATAACCTAATTTCCCAGTGTTCCTATTAACAATGCATTATGCATTGAACTATTCACCGTCAGGCTTCAGCTTAAATATACCCCATCCAAGTCCAATCTTGTTCCCCATGGCCCACAAGTAAACCCACTTGTGTAAGTGAAGTTAAAAGATATCATAGCAATGAGACTCTAGGCTTCCCTTCTCTTGATGGCCTAATCCAGAATAGGAACAACTACCTTTCATTATCAACCAAAAAAGCATTTCAAATAATCCACTGTGTAGTGGAAAGGGGAAGCCCCAACTTCCTTCACATGTTATGGTCGGATTCAGATAACACGCTGTCGTGTTCATAACTAATGGGCTACCCAGAAATTTGTGATTGGTTACATTGGGCTGAAAAGCCTGTGAACAGTTTCCACCTAACCTGGACTTCCGTAGCCATTGGTAGTAAATGAAAGCTCTGAGTTCTTGTATGACGCAAACTGATTCATTCAGGAATCCGCTGTAAATCTAGAATCGGAAAGTTAATGTTCTAATTTTGGAATGGAACCAAACATAGTAAATGTTTGAAAATTACAGGGAATGGGACAAAGGTACGTACCCTGTCATGTCATTTCGAATAAACTTATGCAACCGAAGTCAGCAAAATCAATCGACCACAGTTGTTCTTTTTTAAGGCCACAGTAGTAATTGTGGTTGGTTAACTCTGAGGTTATGGTTCTAGCCATATATACATCATGTTCCAGTAAATTATCTGGATTTAAAGTTTTGAGAAAATGACCGAAGGTGTAGTAAATTACATCAAATTAGTTTCCTTGTATAGTTTTTTTTATTTATATTAACTTGGAGGTTTACTAAAGTATTGTTAATTTAAGCATAGGTGATTTTGATTTGACCTGCCTTGGGGTCTACTGACATCAGATGATAAGATTACACCCGATGTTATTGGTCAAACAAAGGTGCTTTTACTAAAAATTCACCTAAATAATCAATAATTATCTGTTAGTTCCACATTGATCAAATTTTATCAATCTAAGACTTATATACTGACATGTACGGAAGGCACAGATCACTAAACACGTCTTTCTTGAATTTTCATCTTAGTTGACGCCATGCAAGTAAAGCGAGGATCACCATCCACGCCTTCGTTATAAAGCTGATACTCGGCGAAAGGTGTGGATCATCATAGTGCCCTTTATTATTCACCTTATTGGGTACTCTATTATTTTCCGAGGTTTAAAATTCGACGACTCACCCATCTCCTCCCTTATAAATACTCCTAAATGCAAACATCAAATCACACAAAAATTACGTTCACATTCTTCTTTCTATTAATTCATTCTATCAAACTAAGTAAAATTTGTTATAGTTCTTAGAAAGTAAATTTTTTTATTATATTATATTTTTTTATATTTAATTATTTGACTAATTTTTTTGTACTAACTTTTTCATATTATTTTTTATGGTTGTAAAATGGAATGCGAAATCAAATCTCGAGATATTTTATCGATACGGTAATAATATTAAATTGATTTATTTAATTTACTGTGAAATTTTTTAAATTTTGTTAGCATTAGTTTATATTTTAATTCGTATACTATTTATTTAATTAGGTATATTTCAACTATTATTTTTACAGATAAAAGACTCAATCTTTCAAACTCTCAAAATGAGGCGTGTTTCAGCTATTGTTTATTATGATAGAGAAATTCAGGAATATGAAATCGACGTTGTCTTCACATCAAATCATTGTGGAAGTAATGTTTACAATGATAGTGATCCACGTCTTCCGCCGCGTGTCAACTTTACTACGAAGGCACAAATGATGATCTGTGTGGTGTCAACTATGACGAAAACTCAAGGAATGCACTTTTAGTGATCTACGCCTTCCGTCCATGTCAACAAATAAGTATTAGATCGATAAAATTTAATCAATTAGTGTCTGATAGGTAATTATTGATTCTTTGAGTATTTTTTTTTGGTAAAAACGCCCCCCAAAGCTATAGCGCATGATCATAGAATGGTATGGTTTATTGGATGTGAATGGAAACAAAACTAGGTTACATAGTAGCTAAGCCATTAGTATCAAGCTAGGAAAGAAGAGAATTAATGTAGATGAGAGGATAAATACAGTCTTTGTAGAGTATGAAACATAAAATAAATGTATAGTTTATTGAGTTGTTGATACTGTAATGATTTATAATGTTGTTGAACTGTAGCAGATTTCTTCATTTTTGGACGATGAAATAGAAAGCTTATATAAAAAAAAGCCATAGTGCATTTATTTTGCAAAGGAACCCCACCCTCAATGAAAAATTGACTCGCCACCAGCAGTCGCGTAGTCACACAGAACGTGCTTACTTTGAAATTTAAATTTTTTTATTAGTTTTTTATTTTATTGAGATGTTTATTTTGAAATTTTATTTTTGTATACCTAAAATTTTATTGTGCCTATCAATTTAATTTTTTTTATTACTAATCTATATGTATATACCCTAAAAAAATATTTTCAGATCCCTGGTTTAACCATCATCACTCTAAAATTTAAATTTTAGAGACCACCGCCACCACACTATGCAAGTGGGCGGAGCACTTCTCTGGTAAAGTGGTAATCGCTGTAACCTGATGTAAAAGATAACCTTTTTCCGTTAACTGTGACTATAACTGATATACCAGAGAGTTACTGTTAATTGACATGATCTGAAAGTGACTTTACGCCATCATTAAGTTGTTTCAGAAGTTTTTTTTTCAAATACAAGGGGGAGACACTAATTAAAGCAAACCATAAATAATCAGCGATGGAGATACGGGGGTTCAATCGAGCTACATTTACGACTGTTTTCCTATTAATTAGGCCAATAATTCGGCCTTTTTACGAATATTTACTTTTTTTACATGTTTAATATATATTTTCTGAAGTGACATTTTTTCGGTTGAACTGACGAAAGGCGTGTCTCCGGGGACGCACTTTACTCGTATTTTCGCTGAGTTGGATGTTACGTGTGGAAGGCGCATCCCCGGGGACGCGTCTTCACTGACTCAACTGCCACGTGTGGAAAGCGCATCCCCGGGGAAGCGCCTTCCATTAAATGCCATAAATGCTCCCATCCACTTTCCCTAACTACCCCCCTCATCTCCTATATAAACCCCCTCAACCCTCCCTCATTCTTCACACCAAAATCATATTCTCCTCTCTTATATAACTCAAATTCTCCAACTATTTGAGTTTTAAATTTGTTATTAGTGGTAAGAAATTTATTTTTATGTTAGTATTTTTTTAAATAGTTATTATATTTTTATTAATATATTTATGTAAATATTATTTTTTTATTAAAATAATATTTATATAATTATTATTTATTTATAATTATTAATTTTTTTTGCTAATTATATTGTTTTGTCTACAGTTATAATGGAAAACGAAATACTGTTGCGATTGGATATTGATCATATCTCCAGACATTTTAGCGATATGGTAATATTTTTTATAATTAATGTTAATATTTAAATTTATTTTTATTTTAAAGTTATTATGAATTTATATTAATTTTTATTTTTTATAATGTATATTATTTAGGATACTGATCGTATTTTAGAGACTTTTATTAAAAATCCACGTATACCGACACCAGAACGTATTTTGCCATATTTGGCTTCTGCCGGGTTCGGGTATATTGCAACAATTATAGGCGGTTGCAAACTCGAACATGTCCTAATTTATGCACTGATTGAGAGGTGGAGGCCCGAGACACACACTTTTCACCTTCCATGTAGAGAGGCCACAATTACATTGGAGGATGTCTCTATGCATCTAGGGCTTCCCGTCGACGGAAATATGATGTGTGGTATGTCGGATGGTGATTGGTAATCAATGTGCATTGATTATCTTGGAGCTGCTCCGCCAGAGTTTAATGGAGGTAGAATAGCTTTATCTTGGTTGAAAGCTAATTTTGAGGTTTTAAATGAAAATGCTTAAGAGGATCAAGCAAAGGCATGTGCTCGGGCATATATTCTACGAATAATTGGAGGAATATTGATGCCCGACAAATCTCGCAACCAGGTGCATTGTATGTGGTTGCGGCATCTAATCGATTTTGATGAAGCTGGAAGATATAGTTGGGGCGCTGCAGTTTTGGCATTTCTCTTTAGAGAAATGTGTCGGGCGACGAATTATAAGAAAACTGTTATTGGTGGATGTCTTCTGCTTCTACAATCATGGGCGTGGTTCCGCATGTCTTTCTTATGCCCGATCGTGAATGAACCATACGTATTCCCCTTATTGTTGAGGTAATTTTCGAACTAAATTTTGATTTAAATATTTTCAATTAAATAGGGTGATATTTAGTTTATATTATATTTCATAGGTGGTCGATGAAAAGAAATGACCATAAAAGTATACATACTTGGTTAGAGGAAATTCGTTTACTTATTGATACGAAAGCTGAGTCTGAGGTATGTTTTTAAATTTGTTTAATTATTAATATTTTAATTTAAAATGCTAGATATAATTAGAATATTTTATTTATTTGAATTGTATATTTATATTTCAGTTTCAGTGGATACCTTATGCGAGCGATGAAGTGAAAGCTTGCATCCCACCCCACCTTAGTGGGTCATTAGAGGTATAGATATCGGTTATATCTCTTATATGTTATGCTATTATTGAGTGGCATGCAGTTGATTACGTGCTCCGTCAGTATGGTTGTACGCAATATATTCATGGAGCACCTAGGAATTTAGACGACGTGCATAACATAGATAGACGAGGAAAGAAAGATGTTAACTGGGTGGTGAGACACAGAGATTGGATTGCGCTTTGGGAGAACCGATATACACTGTTGGCCACTCAACAATATTACGCTGAAACTGGTCATATGGTTACGGATAACTATATGGACTGGTTTAATGAAAATGGGAAGTCGTTTCTACTTTCGACGGAAGCACGAGGGGTTAACATTCCTAGGCGCCGAGAAAGACGTCAACCGTCTCAATATCATCATCCCCCGACGCGTGGACAGAGAGAAGACGCTACTGGTTCTGCATCAGTCCCACCACAACATCCTTATCCGTCGATGCCGCAGGGGTACATGCACAGCCCTCCACTTCATATGCCAAGCCCACCAGTTTATATGCCATCTCCGCAGGGTTACATTCCGAGCCCGCAGGGTTACATTCCTAGCCCGCCAGGTTACATGCCTAGCCCGTAGGGTTTTATACCATATGGAGGTGCATATACGACTATGTTTAATGATCCAGCATATGGTTCATATGCATCTTATTTGGCTGGTGGTGCTTCTCCGCAGACACCTCAATCTCCATCTGGATCACAGACATCGATGCCAATGTTTCCACAATTTTCACAGTTCCCGGGGAGCGGTGGGATTGTTACTAGCACTCCTCCAGGGTCGTTATTTTATACAGGCCCTTCAGCTCCTTCAGCGTCATCTACACCAAATGAAGAAAATGCTGCTGATGATGATAGTGAAGATGAGGAGACTGAAGAACAAGTTCCACGAAGAAATCCTCCACGAAATAGACAACCACCGCCATGTGGAACTCATTCGAGAAGACGACATCGGTGATCCAGTTGTATTTTAATGTTATTTAAATAGTAATATTTCAGAATTTTATGTAATTTGGTTATGTTATTTAAATGTTTCATGGTTGTTACATACATATTTTTAATGTTATTTTTTATTCACATTTAACATTAAATGTTTGATAAATGTTTTTAAAATACAAATTATATTATTCGAAATTTAAAATAAAAATAAAAATAATATTATTCGAAATTTAAAATTAAAATATAAATTATAGTATTCGAAATTTAACATTAAATTTCAACTTAATATTCCAATTGTATTCGAAATTAAAAGTTATATTCCAATTATAGTTCACAATACTTAAATTGAAATTAAATTTATCCATACATATGATTTTATCATTAACATATATATTAAAACGTATACATTAAAATCAAGTTATCACTTCACATTTATTCGTAAAAACATCTCGATGCTCATTCCATACAATTTCAATGTCACAATCAACTTATCACTTCACATTTATTCAATTTATCCATAACATTTTATCTAATTTATTCAAACTTCACATAACATTTTAATTTAAGTTATTCTTAACTTGCTGAACTTTCAAAAGAAGTTAAATTTTGGTTATAATTTACTTGATTTACTGATATATCTAGAGTCCCCGAGGGACATGAGTGACATAATAGGGCAATGATAACATATTCTCTGACAAAATAATGGAAGGTGCGCCCCCGGGAACGCGCCTTCAAGTCCCCTGAGAAATAATAGGTACTGATATGAATAGTGTCCCCGAGGGACATGAGTGACATAATAGGGCAATGATAACATATTCTCTGACAAAATAATGGAAGGCGCGCCCCCGGGACCGCGCCTTCAAGTCCCCTGATAAATAATAGGTGCTGATATATCTAGTGTCCCCGAGGGACATGAGAGACATAATAGGGCAATGATAACATATTCTCTGACAAAATAATGGAAGGCGCGCCCATGGGAACGCGCCTTCAAGTCCCCTGAGAAATAATAGGTACTGATATGAATAGTGTCCCCGAGGGACATGAGTGACATAATAGGGCAATGATAACATATTCTCTGACAAAATAATGGAAGGCGCGCCCCCTTAGAACGCGCCTTCAAGTCCCCTGAGAAATAATAGGTATTGATATATCTAGTGTCCCCGAGGGACATGAGTAACATAATAGGGCAATGATAACATATTATCTGACAAAATAATGGAAGGCGCGCCCCCGGGAACGCGCCTTCAAGTCCCTTGAGAAATAATAGGTACTAATATATCTAGTGCCCGAGGGACATGAGTGACATTATAGGGAAATGATAACATATTCTCTGACAAAATAATGGAAGGCGCGCCCCCGGGAACGCGCCTTCATGTGAATAGTGAAATAATAGGTACTGATATATCTAGTGTCCCCGAGGGACTTGAGTGATATAATAGGGAAATGATAACATATTCTCTGAAAAAATAATGGAAGACGCGCCCCCGGGAACGCGCCTTCACGTGAATAGTACTCCGATTATAGACACTATTATATGAAACATATTATAAACTTTCAAAACAAACTTCAGTTCACAAGCTTTCAAATTCTCAAATTCTCAAACTCTAAATTCTCAAATTCTCTGAAAATGAGTCGTCTTTCTGCTGTTGTTTTGTATGATGGAGAAATTAAGGAAGCTGAAGAGGGGGTTGTTTTTTAGTCAGATCATTATATCCCCTTAAACTTGAAGAGAAACATCATAATTGAGGAGTTAATCACAAAAATTTCGTTAAAGATTCGTGTAGCAGGCCAGAGAAGACTATCTTCACTTCAGTACAGATTTTCTACTGAACTTTTTCCGCTCACGTATACATCATTTCAGCTTTCAAACGATGATGAT